AGAAAGAAAGAAAGAAAGAAAGAAAGAAAGAAAGAAAGAAAGAAAGAAAGAAAGAAAGAAAGAAAGAAAGAAAGAAAGAAAGAAAGAAAGAAAGAAAGACTGCAGAGGGATCCTTTTAGAATAAAAAGGCACAGATAGATGTGGCAAACATTATCACTGGGTATGCATGAAAATAACCTATATAACCTAAATGCCTCACCTGCTTTCAGGGAGTGTTGAATGACAAGTTTAATTTTAATAAGGAACACAAAAACACTCAGAAGGGGAATACATATGTACATATCTGATGTATATATTGTTTTCTATTCCCAAGGTCAGAGGTTTTTTTATGGTTTAGAAAGTAACATAAGCCTTCTACTTTTTTCATAAGAAAAAAAAACATGTTTAAAAATACTGCGGGCACTATTTTCTTTTCTTTTACGAGAGGGTTTTGCATTTTCTTGCCACCTTAAAGCAGACAAACTTGAGTGGCATATGTGGAAAGCATTACCCATTGCCGTACAAGACTGGGGACTGCAGTCAGAAAGTTTGATAGCACCAGAGGTTTTACACAGATTTATTCAAACAGAAGATGACTAAGGGGAAATATTCCTCTTTACCAGACACATGCCACAATTCTGTCAGACATTTTGTCTTGAACTAAGCCCTGTGGGATGGAGAGAGAGAGGGGAGAGCAAGTTTATTTTAAGGATCCCTATAGCTTTGTCAAATCCCGGATTTGACTTTCATAGGGACTCTCTTTACGCAAGTTCCAGTGTTTTATAGAAGCCTTATGCATTTCCGCTCAAGGGTTGTATAATACCCAAGCTCATTAAACAGATTTCAGTTTCCAGAGATTTTTAAAGATGACAAATGTTTTCTGAGGGAACTGGACTGACCAGATATTCCTTCAAGTCCTAAATATTAATGGTCTCATTTTCACTCTTAAGTAAGAAATAAAGAATGTACTACACCGAGACCACACAATATGTTGTAGGACATTTCATAGTAGTAGGAGAATGACTCAATCATGCCTAGAGGGATTAACAAAGTTGAATCACTAAGATAATTTGATGCCCGAGGCAATGACTGCAAGAGAAAGTAAGCAAAAAAATACAGATTCCAATTAGATAGATAAGCAGAATGCGAGGTATATTGCCCTATTTTGTATGTCTGCATGCTAAAGGATAAAAATGGCCCACAGCTGCTACTCCGTTCAACGCAAAACAACTTCATAAAGAATTTCACATTTAGTGCATTTCTTACAAACACAAACAGCATTAAAGCAAATCCCCACATTATTGTATTACTGGGGCAATATGCTCTCCCCAAAGCTGTTAATGAAAAGGCATTTACTCTTCACACCAGGGCTCGCAAGAAATGAAATGACTCTGATTTCTTGCGAGTTTCTTACCGAGCAGTTTTGAGCCGATACCTGGAAAATGATCACGAACAAGACTGTAGCTGTTGTTTGAACCAAGAGCTACTCTGACCCGCCTTGATCCAATGCAATTCTTTTCTTTTTCATTGCTTTTGCAAACATAAATGACAGGAAATGTATTTCTCTGAGAAAAATAAATAAATAAATAAATGAAACACTTGAAATTTGAAGCAAAAAAATTTTGCGGGGAGAAAAAAATACGGTTGAATTGTTTCCTTAGTCTTGTCTCGACTAAATAATGTTCACAAACAATCTCAGCCATTGTAACATTTTCTACGCTGACAAAGAGGAATGTAATTACAAAGCCTTACCAGTATTAGTTTAACGTATTTGCTGCTTCTTACTGGACAAATGATAGAGATGGATGAAAAATTATGAGCCTATTTAAAATATTACAAATTAGAGGTGCAAATAACCTGTTATACTATGTCATCTTAAATGTAAATGAATGTACAATCCTTTTAAAAGTGCAATTTGATAAGAAGAAATCTTAGGATGTTTAAGAGCCGTTTTCTGCTTCTTTGGTGTATGTACGCAGATGTAAATGTCAGATCTATCAAACTGCTGGACTGATAATTAAACTTTCATTTTCTATGGTGTAACACGTCCTTATTAACAGCGTGTCAGCTGTGAAAGCTAACTAAGTGAATATGTGTCAGTGCAATTTGTTAGTATTATCTCTGAGCCGTCCCTTGTTTGTAGAAGGAAAAAGGCCCAATGTAAGAGTCATTGCATATGATGGCGCATATCTAAAAATGTCAGCTTACCACACTATTAAACATTAAAGGTGAAAGCTTTATATCACGCTCCACCTTGCACTGCAATTACAAATATAACCTATATATAACCTATCTGTACCTTTATGCATCTCACCATCTCCTCTATCTGTTTCAAGAGCACTGGACGTAAAATGAAAGCTTTGCTTTTTCCTCCCTGTTTGTTAAAAAACAGTTACTGTAACGGAGCATTTTCCTTATTTGGAAAATGCTCCGTTACTTAACAATGTCTTGCAGTAGTGTGATAAAATCAGGATAATCAATTATCAATTGATGTTGTGGGCTATTTACTCTGGAGTATGGACTGCAACCCACAAACACATTAAGCTGGTGCCGGATGGCAATAAATCAAACAAATTGTTCAAAAAGGATTTACACATTAGTCTTCACTGCATTGTGCTTACAGGCAGAATAGGCACAATGGGCTTTAGCCCCCAATCTATTCTGAATGTTCAAAGGGAAAAGCTGATCAACTCAAAGTACAAGTCTCTTACTCTGGAGAAGGATGTGACATTTTACCATTTGTCTGAGTCATCATGTTTACCTGATGGCACTATTAAATGAAAGTGTTTAGCATTTATTTGAAAACTTCACAGAGGATGTCAACTGGCTGTACCTGCAATGCTGGCAAATATTTCGCTGATTCCAATCAGCACGTACTGAGGGATCTGCCACCATATGGCCAAATCTGCCGCGTGGTAGATGACGCTCCCAAGCATCTGGTCAATGGTACCATTGGATTTGACGATCTCCAGGCGCTTTGTCTCCAAAATACCTGATGGGGTGGACCCAGAAAACAGTGCAAGGAAGAACAATTAACTAAGGGGAAAGCAAAAAAAAAAAGACCTAAAATTTATTACACACACACCAATTACCCATGCTATATTTAGCATGGGTCATTTGAAAAAGCTTATATATTTTGGAAAGGATACTTTAAAGTTCGTGACACCAACATACAGCAAGAAGCTGCCAGACTTAGAGTTTTCAACACTGAACAGTCCATTAAGGATTTAGCTAATTTTAAGGCTAGCCTACACTTCATTAAGATTACATCTGCATGCTTCTATATTCTGGCAGCTGGTAATGGGACGGTGCAGATGATTCAATAATAAGAACCAGGCAGTTGTCATCAACTGCCGCTGCTTCCTAAAAGCTTTATTCGATAGCTATTATCATGTAACCAGCGGCTATTTCCAGATAACTCCCAGAGACAGCCTCCTATCATAACTGCACTTAATGCTATATTTGAGAGGAGTTGTAGCCTTGTAATCCGGATATCCTATAATACCAGCTGTCCATCTCGAACAGCACGGCCACTGAGCTGCCCCGAGCAAGTCGCACTCTATAAACGCACACATCTTTGCTCCCCCCCACCCACCCTAACTAAATATCACACAACAGACAACCCAGCGTGATCCCTGGAAACTCTGCTCCAGCTTTTCTGGAAAAAAAAAAAAAAAAAGGAGAAAGAGGGCGAGAAAGAGTGAGAGAGAGAAATGCTTTGGGTGCAATAGCCATTGAGCTTTAACCAAATGAGATCAGACATAAAGTGAGAAAAGCGAGACAGCATGCTAAAAAACAAACAAACAAAAAACCAACAGAAAAAACAATGTCAGCATAGTTTTTGAGAGCTGGTCAGCATGTGGCCAAACTCTGGGAGCGTTGTACATAAATGATCAGAAACAGTCCACTGTCTACTTAGCAGCATGCCTTCAGTAGTCCCTTTTCACTGCATGGGTAGTCCACCTGTCCTTGTACCATGTGTGTCAGCACATACAGCTTCACTGTGTAAAATACTGCTGCACCAATCCAGACAAATACACAACAAGATGAAAGAGATGCTACCGCCGAGGAGCAGCGGTGTGGCGTGCCGGCAGTGTCATGTGTGACAACTATCTAGTCTGTGGATAAAAGGTGCCACACTTGGACATTCACAGCTATCCATCTGTCAGTCTTTGAACTTCATGATTTTAGCTTTTGGACCGCTACAGATAAGCACCGAGTAAAGTCAACTTAGAATGCAGCTTGAAATGTAATAACAGTGTAAGGCAGCTCCCAGGGGTCAGTGTGCGTAACTGAACAAATGTGAATCGAGTCAGTTCTGGGGATAAGCGGTGCACAGGCTCTGCAAATTACTGCTGTCTGAATAATTATTCAAATAAGCTGCAGATGCAATATCATTATACTGCATCTCAGTAATTTACTTTACAAAGCATATTACTGTAAAACTTTGACAGAGTCCTCCGATTTGTCTCCTGGAATCCAGGTCAGAAATTTGTCGCACACGAGTTGTGTACTCATCTGTCCAATTCCCACACCATAAACACATTCTCTCCACTCCCAGAACTCAAAACAGCCTTCTGCAATATTCTGAGTTTCTTTTGCCTGAATTTAAATGCAAGTGCTGCACTTTATTTCAGTGAGTCGAATGGAAAAGCAAACAGCTAACCAGCTTTGGAACATGAAAATGAAAATATTAGAAGGACCTTTACTTGTCAGAAACCTCACATCCTCTGATATTTAAACTGAAAAATAAACACTACAGATTTGGTTAATAATCATTCTACCGCATCAGGTTGATTGAAAAAGATTTGTTTGATGGTCTTACTCTGCCAATCAACACTAGAACATTTGAGGACTCTACAGTCTTCTTTTTACACTCACTGTTTTGATGAGGTGAGCTTTAATTTACTAAGTTGCTGAGTTTTGGGGGTTTGTTGTGTTTTTTTACACATTCTGCTATCAGATGACCATAAAGGAGCAAGAATGAACAAGTTTATCATATACGTGGAGATAAGACCAGTTTGTAAAAACAGACGTAAAACATACCATAAAATAATCGTGAGCTAATGTTATGACACTTCGGTTGTGTTTTGTTGAAAACTGTAGAATCGGCTTGCTTGTGCTATATAAGGATACAAAGCATGCTTGTCGTGGAAACTGTTGTTAAGACATTTGACTACAAACTCAAAAATGAAATGAAATGAGATGAAAGAACGGCCAGTTCTACAGAGATTCCCTCACAATTATCCCCAACAACTGCTGTTTATTTTCATTAAGTGCATTATTCCCCATCTATAAAACCACACTAGTCAATATCTAAGGACCACTAATAGTAAAATATGTTCATTTTGCACATTTGCATTTCTGTGTAAGAAAAAGTGGAGCGTTTGTGGAATACAATGTAGACTGATTGGCTTTTCTTCCTGCCTTCATGCTCGAAACATTTTAGCCTGGATGCATCAGTGCAGCAGCAACCACTGACAGGCCTGGCTGAAGCTTTCGAAAACAATCTACAGACTGGAAAAGAACACGACTGAGCACGGCTGGTGCAGTCACACAGGACTAAAAAGTTAGATGCCACAGCGCTCTCTATAAGCTACTGAGTGAGGGGGGACAATATCTGCTGCTTTTCCTTTGCCAGATGGAAAGTCATGGGATTCTGGAATAGACTATAAATCTGTGACAAACCATCTTTCGAGTCCCACATAAAGCAACACCAGAATAGCAATAAAAAAATTTTTAAAAAAAAGTTCAGTGACCATATTCAAGTCATGTCAGTGAAGCGGCTTTGTATTAAAGCCATGTTACCAAAAGTAATGAAAATATAGATGAAGTAGATGTGGCACTGGAACTGCTGATTGTATGTTCCAACTGCCACAGAAAATAACACCCAACTTTGCCTTTTTACTTTGTTGTGTTTGTACTATTTAAGTGACATGTTCAGAGAACTCGGCTGCGGGTGCACTCACCCGCTGCCACGGCCGAGCACATGACAAAGAACATCCCTACTGCGATCCTTTTCAGGGAGGAGGGCAGCAGGCCGCGCCGTTTCAGGATTGGGTCCACCACTTTGTCCTTCAGAGGAATCAGCATGATAATGAGCACTGCGTCAAACATGGTGAGCCAAGCAGGCGGGAAGCGGAACGTCATCTGGGGAATCCAGGGGGAGAAACATGGGATGAAAGAGAACAAAAGGCAAAAAAGTATGAAAACTACACAGTTCGCCAAAAGTTTGCATTCACTGGAGTCTGTGCATCCTTCAGACTTGATACTGCTCTGGCACCCCCAGGTGGTCAAAAGCAAAACATGAAGCAATTTAAAAAACAAAACATAAATAGCATGTATAGTAATGGAAGCAGGCAGTCAATACCGAATAAATATTCAGCTTATTATTCACAGCCGTAGCAGCAGCAGCACTAGTATTAATAGGATTCATAAGTTCTCTTTTTTACATTCCAATCTATTAAAGCTTAAATGTGAAACAAAATTGACAAAACTGATTCTGAATTATCACGATAAAGCGTAATCTTTGGAAGGAATAATTGCACTGTGTAAACAGACTGGATGACATATCAATCAAACAGAAATTCCACTATAAGCATACAAAGTATTTACAAGTTGAGGCAATATCTCACTGACTGAGCAGTGTAACAGTGCAGACTGCTGGAGCAGAGTTTTTTTTGTTTGTTTTGTTTTGTGCAATTCAAATTCCAAGTGCCATCTGAGCTCCTGATGTGTCTCTGGTTTAACACTTCTGATAGGATCATTTATTCTCAAATTGAATTTCCATTTCTTAGAGCGACCGCTGGCAATCTGTACGCAGCTCCTTAGAGAGTGTTTTTCTCTCTTGTTTGTACATTATCATATTCAAAATGATAGGAAGTGCTAAATGAGACTTCTTCTTTGCCAAGGCAAGGCTGGCATGAATGACTGAGGTGTCTCAGCAGGCCCAAATCTCACAAATCTCCGTGTGTGTGTTTTTTTTTGTTTTCTTCCCCACTTCCCCAAAACAAAACCACACATACATACTGTATACTGATTTAGCAATTTGGGAAATGATGAAGACTTATTGCAAGATTTATATTTTCTGCTGCTCTTTATCTTGAGAAAATTGGATAGTGCCACCATTTAGGGATCAAAAAGTATCCCATAAAAATATGGTTGCACATGGCAGGTTGTGAGCATTTTAGCCATTATTTCCCTAGACCACCCTTTAGATCAGCATGAAACAAGATTTATTGAAGCATGCTTTTAATATATGCAATAATATTACATTTGAAATATGTATTCATTTTTGTCTGTTAAAAGGTAAAAGTTGGCTTGGGGTTAATGTGGGAGTCACGAAAGCAGTAAAATTACACTATTAGGTGTTTGGAAACACATTACATGCAATTATAATTTCAATAAGAATGCTCTGTTTTTCAGCTACAAGTACTGTTACATTTAAGGAGAGGAAGAGCCTTTAATCTTTCATAAATGATAGTATAGGATTCTTTTATCACATGCTGTCATGAGGCACAGTACAGGGAGTGCAGAATTATTAGGCAAGTTGTATTTTTGAGGAATAATGTTATTATTGAACAACAACCATGTTCTCAATGAACCCAAAAACTCATTAATATCAAAGCTGAATGTTTTTGGAAGTAGTTTTTAGTTTGTTTTTAGTTTTAGCTATTTTAGGGGGATATCTGTGTGTGCAGGTGACTATTACTGTGCATAATTATTAGGCAACTTAACAAAAAACAAATATATACCCATTTCAATTATTTATTTTTACCAGTGAAACCAATATAACATCTCCACATTCACAAATATACATTTCTGACATTCAAAAACAAAACAAAAACAAATCAGCGACCAATATAGCCACCTTTCTTTGCAAGGACACTCAAAAGCCTGCCATCCATGGATTCTGTCAGTGTTTTGATCTGTTCACCATCAACATTGCGTGCAGCAGCAACCACAGCCTCCCAGACACTGTTCAGAGAGGTGTACTGTTTTCCCTCCTTGTAAATCTCACATTTGATGATGGACCACAGGTTCTCAATGGGGTTCAGATCAGGTGAACAAGGAGGCCATGTCATTAGTTTTTCTTCTTTTATACCCTTTCTTGCCAGCCACGCTGTGGAGTACTTGGACGCGTGTGATGGAGCATTGTCCTGCATGAAAATCATGTTTTTCTTGAAGGATGCAGACTTCTTCCTGTACCACTGCTTGAAGAAGGTGTCTTCCAGAAACTGGCAGTAGGACTGGGAGTTGAGCTTGACTCCATCCTCAACCCGAAAAGGCCCCACAAGCTCATCTTTGATGATACCAGCCCAAACCAGTACTCCACCTCCACCTTGCTGGCGTCTGAGTCGGACTGGAGCTCTCTGCCCTTTACCAATCCAGCCACGGGCCCATCCATCTGGCCCATCAAGACTCACTCTCATTTCATCAGTCCATAAAACCTTAGAAAAACCAGTCTTGAGATATTTCTTGGCCCAGTCTTGACGTTTCAGCTTGTGTGTCTTGTTCAGTGGTGGTCGTCTTTCAGCCTTTCTTACCTTGGCCATGTCTCGGAGTATTGCACACCTTGTGCTTTTGGGCACTCCAGTGATGTTGCAGCTCTGAAATATGGCCAAACTGGTGGCAAGTGGCATCTTGGCAGCTGCACGCTTGACTTTTCTCAGTTCATGGGCAGTTATTTTGCGCCTTGGTTTTTCCACACGCTTCTTGCGACCCTGTTGACTATTTTGAATGAAACGCTTGATTGTTCGATGATCACGCTTCAGAAGCTTTGCAATTTTGAGACTGCTGCATCCCTCTGCAAGATATCTCACTATTTTTGACTTTTCTGAGCCTGTCAAGTCCTTCTTTTGACCCATTTTGCCAAAGGAAAGGAGTTGCCTAATAATTATGCACACCTGATATAGGGTGTTGATGTCATTAGACCACACCCCTTCTCATTACAGAGATGCACATCACCTAATATGCTTAATTGGTAGTAGGCTTTCGAGCCTATACAGCTTGGAGTAAGACAACATGCATGAAGAGGATGATGTGGACAAAATACTCATTTGCCGAATAATTCTGCACTCCCTGTAGATATACAACGTGGCTGTTTCTGAGAGCGCACAACTGTGTGAATTGCAATGGCCATTCAGTTTGGGAGAAGCCACCACATGCTTCCAGCAAATGTCTGCAGCCTCTTTTGTGTACTCTACGCAGTTCTGCATTTTCAAACATTAGTAGTAGCAGTAGTAACCCAGTGTTTTTGTTTACATTTGGACTGTGAATTGACAAAATAAATAAATAAAATAAAAATCTATTTGCTGTAAAACATCATGCATGGCTGATCATTATCACATTTCGGGCTTCAACTGGCTTTCACATGAATCCAATTTTGAGATTCAAGTTTTCAGACTTGCAACAATGATCCTGTGCGCATAAGCTCAAGGGACACATGTTAATGTGTGACTCAAATTTCAGCATCTAAGCATTACAATCGTTTGCAAATATCACAGAATTTTCTTTACACCTTAAGATCAGAGTGAGGTTTGTACATACGCCTAACTTAATACTGAGATATTGAGAGATTTTAAAAACAAGTTTTTAAGAAATTAAAAAAAACAAATTTAAAGACAGAAGAACAATGGAACAAATAATTTTAGATCACTGCAAAGCATTTCTGAGATAACTGCAGAAACATATACTTGATTACTATGTCCAAGTTGGTGTGAGACGTTGGGGGGATTTCTAAACCATGTAATGAAGTTTCCTGCAGCTTCACTGCTCTAACCCTTATAATCTATTGTAACAGATTAGAAAAAAAAAGCTTATAGAAATATGTAATCTCTGCAGACGAATAATACATTGTTTATCCTCTGAACGAGTAACAGGGCATGAAGTATTGAATTTATTGTGGGTTACCATGAAAACAGTTTTAATTTTAAAATGTGATTTTCAAATTCACATAGTTTTGTTTTCAAATTGCCAATCAAACCCAAAAATAAAGCAACTAGTCAAAAAATTACTCTAAATTCATAAATTGTAACCTCAGAGTAGTAGTTATAGTAGTATGGGTGCCATTTCTCCAAAGAGACAGTTTTTGTTCAGGTTGGCCACTGAAATGTGTCAGGTGAGACGAGACATCTATTCTCACTTCCCTTTTGATAATGACAAATGTCGAGGCCGGTAGCAGGAAGGGCCTAGTTCCATTTTTTCCTACCAGATAAACGGTGCACTTAGGAAAACTTTGTAGAAATGTAGTTCTTAAACACAGTTGTAAACATGTTACACAAGTAAACAAAGCCATGTAACATAGTTTCACGATGTTCCAAGTCGAGTATTTTTGTGGCTTTTCAAGAGCACTAACTCAGACTGCGAGGTTTACCGACAAGTGTTTCACTTCACAATTCTGTGAAGTCGGTACACTTCACAATCACCTCAAGCATGCCTGTTCAGAAATATGAACAGACTTACTGCACTACATAAGCTGCTGTTACTACTCAAGTTAATTTCATTGCTTTTGAACCTTTTGATTTTCAGTCATCAAAGCACCGCAGCGCTCAACATCTAATCTACTACAGTTGTCCTGATAGACAAGTATTGGGCGTGTATCACATAGGCACAAATGCCTGAGCACTGGTTCCTCAATTTCTTGCTGGACCATTTACTGAATGTCACTCCACTGGTCCTTCCCTGCTACCCAATTTTCTCTATTTTCTAGTGCCACTATAAAACGAAAACTTAAATTTGCCAAAATGAAAATAGAATCAGGCAAAGTGAGAGACAGGTATACCAGCAAAATTTGCCAAACAGAAACAGGTGGAGGCGCTGCTGTGGTGAGATACAATGCCAGCCAGTTGCTAATCTGTGAGGTATTAGTCTATGAAGTTCTCACTTAATCCCCGTTGCATTATCAGCCTTTGCTGCTGCCTCCAGCTGTTGTGTGTCAGTGGCCTACTGACTCCTTTAGTTTCAGCAGTAAAAAATATAGATCAAAACCACTTGTGAGAAAGCAGGCTAGAGCTCCACGCTGTTATGTTTAACTACAGAGAATTAGAGAACAGTTAAGAGTGCCACAGCACAAATCAAGTCAGAGCACACTGGCACTAAAATTGTTAATTAAACAGGAAAGAGGTGCAGGAGAGTGTCTCCACTTCAGTTTACCTTAGAGAAGTCAGAAGTGCTGTTTGGGGTTGTATCAGGAATCTTCAGATGGAGGCTCTGCAGGATGTACGTTGTCTGCATCTGTAATGCGAAAAGGAGATTAAAGTCTCAGCGTGAAGTCGTTCTCCACTTTGTGATCACCAGGGTGTCTGGTGCACACCATTCTTCTCCAGTTTTGACACAAACAATGTTTTACCTGATAATGTGTGCACATTATCTCTTGTGTTCTCACTTTGCATTTCTCATCATGCGCAATACTGTTTTAATGTTTGGATCTAACTTTATATCGGCTGATCTTACCTGAAAGTATACAGTCCAGTACGGAATAAGAGCAAAGAAAACCGGAAGGACCTTCACCAGTGCTTTGACTTCCTCTACTTTCTCTTCAGGAAATTTCCCTCCGTAAGTCACTTTGGCACTGTCCAGTAGTGCCGGTTTGCTGTTTCACAGGAAAAATTTAATAAACATAAACCTGATTGAAATAGTTTAAAAATACAGTGTAATTAATGGCATAAAGCAAAAATAAATCCAGAATAAACTAGAATTGGTCTGTGCTCTTTAAGTGGGAAATTAACCAGCCTTTTATGTGAATCTCTCGGCCTTTAACAACAGCACTTCTAGAGATATGAAAGAAACTTTTTTTCTAAAGCCTATAATCCCCATCTCTGGAGAAAATGTCTTAATAAGAAATTCTTGAAAGGCAGCAGGACTGCCCAACTTAAAATATTCAATGTCAAGTTTATGAGCTAATAGTGCTACTTTGGTTCAAAGTCAAGTATCCGCACTTCAGAATAACTTAACCACATGGAACGAAGATGAATGCCTGAACCAATGGGGAAAAAAAAAAGAATTATACAGGTGGATCAAAGGAGGTTTTAACATAAAGCTCTACCAATAAAATAGAGCCATTTTATTCCACTGGTTCACAGTCACCATCCAACTAACGTCACTACACTACTTTAGGAAGCTGTCCCACTGAGACTGATCTGGGTGTGCTTTGTTTGTATATGTATTTAATTACTGTATGAAATGTCACTCTTACCGGAGCAGGTTTGGCTCCACCGGTTTCTGTGAACAGCAGGCAAAAGCCAGGATCTTGAACATGTCAGTAAAGGCACTTCCATCTGCGGGCTTGTTGATGAAAACCATACGCCCCAGGAGAAAGACCAGGAAAGAGATCCCAAGGCACACAGTAGGAAGGATGTAGCCAACCTCAAAGCTAACGTTTTGCTGGATGTAGGCCACACCTCCCAGTGACAGGATGGCACCCAAGTTAATAGACCAGTAGAACCAGTTGAAAAATCTGCGAGTGGCCTCTGGTCCTCTGTCTTTGACCTGCGAGCACACAAAGCACAGGGTGACGTTTTTTCTTTTCTTTAATCCAAACAAAAAGAGCGTGTAAGAAGAGTAAGTGTACTCTGAACTTTGCAACAGTGGTTTGTCATGAGTTTGTAAGTTAACTACCAGCATCTGATTGTTATAAAAAAATAAGTGAAGTCACAAGTCGTCTGATATAAAAGATTAGGTTTCAAAGCCAAGAAACAGGGTTTAAATTGATTTAAACTATGGCTGCATGACTCAAAGCTATAACATATAGTACAAAGTACAGTTTGTAAAAACCTAAAATGATCAAAACACAACCGTGAACTGTCAATAACAAAGAGAAACAGTGATCACAAGCTGAATACCAATTTGCATGAGTCAACACGTTTGCCACATTTATAGTAAAATATACATAGCAATACTGTGCAAACTTTATAATAACTTTATCATTTTATCATCTCAGCTGAGTGAAATGAGCAGAACAATAGAAGCAACGTTTTCTTTATTCTTTATCTGCTTATTGTAGTTTTTAGCATTCTTTAAAAGGTTACAATTAAAGGTTATAATATTGGCTTAGTAACGCTTCAATAGCTGTCTATGCCAACACATAATATTATCATCCGATCCATCCCACATACAGTTATTCTTTTGAGTGAAAAGATTTTCTCAATTCCTGATGGATATGTCGCTTATATACAAGCACAAAAGATGCTGGTACAGCTAAAACATGCTGAACATAAGGTCAATATATTCAGCATAAATTTTTCTGGGGTTCATCAGTGCATTTGTGCAGAGTCAGTTATGAAAGTAATTCCCTCATGGCATAGCTGGAAAAATAAATTCTTGTCAGTTGTCTGAAATTACTGGGATTTCTGCAATGATTAATCATAAAATGTTGTCCAGGCTTCATATAGGTCACAATTATAGTAAACACAACTTAACTAAACTCGCAACTCTGTGTGAACCTCAGTGGTATCCAATTAAGAAAATGAGGCTGGGTGGTTGTTGGGGTGCCCCCCATATAAAAAAGGCATAAAAGTCTGACTTTTGATTGTTAACATAAATGATGAACACCTCCCTCTTGATTGTAAAAGCATTTAGAGATATATGAAGCTACAAAAGGCTATAAAAGCTTTTTTCTAAAGACCTGGAGCAAGACTATAGTTACAAAAACATTTAAGTTACCTGAAATAAAAACTAAACTTAACGCAAAAAGTAGGAAACTACAAGAGGAAATATGTTTTAGTCTTTGTCAGAGCAACACACATTAGAATGTTTTGGTGTAGTGTGAATACATGACACAGAAATTGTGTTTTTATAGTGATACTTCTTCTAAATTTCTTGAATATTTCCCTGACTAATACCCCTACATAATGAAAATTCAACTAAATATGAATAAACTCTCAACACAAATTAAAACTAATGAAATATTTACAATTAAAATAAATCTGTCTCCGAGTGGTAACACCTGTAGATATTTCCACAACTGGATAACAGGGTTCAAGGGAAAACACACTACTAGCAAAACAACCAGACCCGGCCATTAGTTGGAAAGCTTAGAAGATCTACAAATTTTTAATGACATTTCTAGATCAGTGATGCATGAAGAGATTTATCAAAAGGTGGACAACACCATCATCCCAACTTTAAAGTCTGGTGGAACCAACATCATTGTTTGGATAGCTTGTTATCACTGAATTAAAGAGCAGCTGTCTGTGTTTTAAAGGAAAGGTTGGGTGAACTAGCAAACAAACATTAAATCGTCTTATGAGCAGCCACCGGAAACAGCCCCCATGTGAAAGCTGTAGCTGCTAAAGGAGGTTCAACAACGAGTTGCTACAAACAATAAAATAATATAAATCCAACTTTTTGTGCTATATGTTCAGTCAGATTGTGTTTCTTTACAATTGTCACTGAAGATCAGACCAAGTATCATGACTGACAAAACTGCAAGTCCAGGTTTGGTAATTCCAAAGAGGTCATAAACCTTTTTTTTTCATGCAAATGCACTGTATTTAAAAGGGGAAATCACAACAATCAGTATGATAATTTTTTTACGCTGTGAGAGGGTGTCGTTATTAGGAATGAGGCCAATTTTAACAGGGACTCTTCTGTTTCTCTTAAATATTCAAATCTCCCACGCACCAAGGACTTTCAGTTGGAGGATCACTAATGGGAAAATTTTGTCTGTATGAGGTAAAACTTTCAGTTTCAGTACGCAGGAAAAAGTAACCTCATGGTGCATTGCGTTTGCTTTAAGGTTAGTGGACTTTTACCAAAAAAAAAAAAGCGGTGTCTTTTGTGTGTTGTGTATTTGAACAAAACATTGCACTAATCATATTCAGTCTGCCAGCTCCCCTTGAAACATTTTATCCTTTCCTGATTAGATAACTCTGAGAAACAATGACCCCATTGATGAACTTTCCCACTTCCATGATTGCATGTTGTGGAGGGCCCTCTAGATAATTTTGATACTAAACTGACAGATGTGTGTTTCACTTCTTATTACCAACTAAGAACAATTGAAGAAGTGTTTATAAATGTCTCCGTTTGTGCATGTGTTCCAGAGAGATGTGTTGTCTATTCTACAAGATGCTTCAAAATGTTTCGTTTTTAATGGTGACAGCCATGAGTAGCCATGATAATCAAGAGCATGTCTCAGAGAAATGTCAGCTAAAGTCCCATCACATGTCTGACTTCATTGATGTCCCCACTACATATTTTATACAAGCCAATTCCAGAAAGCTAATGGTTCAGGTTATAGCCTTCTGGTAACAGGAAATTCCAGGTATTAACTAATTAATACAAACTGTAATATCTCATAGTAGTGCTGTTTATACTCTACCTGATCTGCCCCAAATGGAGTGATGTTAGACTTCACAGTACCCACACCTAAGGCAATTAAGAAAAGTCCACCATAGACTGCTGGGCCACAATATGGGGCACGAATGGGGCAGGTAACGTTTTTTGGAGTGGTAACGTTTGTGTTCAGACACTCAGCAGGCTGCACAGGAAATGCCATTTCTTCCCCGCACAGGTGTATCCTGGTGCCCTCGTTTGAAATAAAAGGGAAAAACAGCATGCCAAAAATGTACAGAACCAAACTTGCAGCAATGGTCAAGAATTTTCCGAGGTATGCATCGGCCAACCAGCCTCCAAATGGTGAAATCAGGTAAGTTACTCCCATGAACATGAGTGGTGCCTGGCTCGCCTGAGTGCCCTCCCAATAAAAAGGACTACCATTCAGAAAAAGAACCAGGTTGGACGTTATGCCATAGAAAGCAATCCTCTCTAGTGACTCGGCCAGCAGGATGGCCGCACATGCCAGTCTTCTTCCCTCGAAGACTGACGGTGGTGAAGGTCTGCTCTCAGTGTCTGAGTCCAAAAGAGGGGTGCTCTCATTGGCGTCCCTGTTGTTAGCCATTCTCGCCCAACTTAATGGAATGGAGTTTCTTCCTTATTTTTAAGAGTTCAAACCTGAAGATAAAACACAAATATAAACCAAACGGTGACACCGCAGCACAAACACAAACAACTGTACCGGATTCACAACATCTAAATTTTCAAAGAGCCCATTTTCTTGTCATATAGGTTTTTAGCTTATTACAAACCTGAAGTAAGCTAGCTTAAACACCACATCAGCTTGTTAAAGTTTCTCATTACCTTACCTTTAATGACAGAAACACGTCCCAGAGGTCTTCGGTTGTCTCCATCAATCTAGATCATACTAACCGCTCAAATGTTTCGTTTGTACTGTCTAAAAGCTGAACTTTATGAAAAGAGAACTGGGTGTCAACAGAAAAACAATGTCACAGTTCTGTCGCGTGACACATAGCTCAGTCAAAAGCTGTCACTCTTGCGTTGCTGTGGAGACGATCTGAAAATGAAACTTACGCGACGGGTACTGCAAATCGAGGCGCGCAACACCATCCATGTGATATAGGGATTTGTTCCGCTTACGCAGAGCTAAGCAAGGGGAGAAGGAAGTGGCACTGCAGTGCAATTTAATCTTTTTTTTTGGCTACGGCTGATTCTGTTATTATATAACATGAACCAACAGGGTTTGGGGTTTGGGGATGGGCATAACAAAAAAAAGGAAGAAGAAAAAGAAGTGAAATTGGCTGGCAGCACTTCGCCGCTTACAGTCATGTTTCCAGGGGGCCGTATAGAAGACGGACTTGTAAACATTACAAGCATGGTGCACTACAGTAGACGGTCTGTGTGCAACCCTAACATGAACCAGCCTTGCCCTTAGGTGCTGCTACGTGTTACGGACAAGGAAATGTAATTGGAGCTCGGCTAAGCGAGTTCATTGAAACGTAGATGTCCCGATCGGTGCCGTCAGCTTTTCGCGAATATTTCGCGTTAAGTAGCTAATTAGCACGTCAGCCCTGCTTTCATAGGAGATATGAAATTACTTTTCCTTGCCTGTCTCAACCCCAAAACTGGGAACCATACTACAGCTGAGAGAATAAGGTAACAAACATAGTTGCTAAGTGTAGCTGGTTCTTATAGCTGGTATGATTCATTAATTAGCGCGTGACACTATGACGCAATAACGGAGTATTTAACTTCATCAGGGCAAGAGTTGTTGGTAAAATCGCCTACTTCACTGTGAAATAAGTGTAACAAGTTGGCTCCAAATACAAACCTTATCGTGTAATGAGACACCTTAAGATGAGTAGCAGTAAATACGGGTGTTGCCGGTGACCTTGGCTTCTGTTCTTAACAGGAACTGAGCTTAATTTAATGTGATTGGTAACACTTGTCCGTCTACAGTTTCATGTTAAAATAGCTAAAATAGCGGAAGACGTTTCCTGGCTTTAACCATTATGAATTTGCTCAACCGCTCAGTCTTCCTTCCTACCTTCCATAAGCAAATGTTAATTTTATGTTTTAGGTCCTACATTGAGTCAGCAGGACACACTTGCGAGCTCAGAGACGCACGAGAGTTTCAGTCTCCTGCTGATGTGGTAAATCTGGTCTCTGAACATCCCAAGTTTGAAGCTGCACTGGCTATTCATCTTTTCAAAGCGGGCAGACTTCTCATGGGTAAACAGACTTGCTGTTATATCATCTACTTATCAGCTGTATACTTTAAATCCGTTTTCTTTTTTGCTGTCAGATAATGGGTCTTCAAATGTACAGCTTTCAGTCCCACATTGCCTTTTTGTTTTATGTCTGTTCTTTACAATAGATATTGAAATACCCTTTGGCGTAATCTTTGGCGGCACAGACATAAATGAAGATGTGAAAGTGGAGCAGAAGCGTGTGGTTATGGAACAGGTGCTACTGAAAGCCAGGTGATGTTGTACTGTTACAAATTCCTATTTTAAAACTTCCGGATGGCTCCAAACTTAGTACATGAACTTTAGTCCTTCATATCATACATATTCCATACCATTTATAAAATGATTTTGGAAAAGTTTCATTTAAAATAACGGAAAAGTCACAATTTGCAAAAGAGTCTACATTATAAATAATGTGATATCAGCATCATCTGTTGGCTTTGTTAATTAGACTAGGAGGCTGCATCTACAGCACATTTGTTAGCATCTTACGATAGGACAAGGAGCACAGATGCATTAGAGGTGGGAATGGAAAATCAGTTCTAGCTAAGAAATTCAAATTGTCCAATTTAGCAGAAGCTTATCACTTCTTGCGTTTATTACATTTGTGCATTGCAAAGCACTGAGGTCAAACTCAATGCAGGGAAGCTTTTCCACAACCAAGTCGGATGCAGGCCTTTCTTTCTGCTCTGTTTCTACAGTGCGTTACGTCACTGAGAAGGTTTTTAAAAGTGCATTGCAATCAATAAAATCTCATCAATATTCATTCCTACACATGCCGTTAATCATGTATGCATTATATTTTTGGAGTGTCATTTCAAGAGGACTGCTCATTACAGGAAATCCCCTGTAACATGTCTCCCATGAGAAGGACCTGCTGATTATATCAAATTTGACAGTTATCATTAATCATGACTTTATCCATGTTTAATATCTAGTATGTTAGTAATGTGTCATATCATATTTTTGCCAACTTCCTTTTTATAAAGGTTTGATTCAGATGTCTCCAACCTGAAGTGCGAGCAGGAAGTAAATGTCACCACTTTCATATCTTTTATTAAAATTATTCACATGAAATGAGAAAGCTTCTAATCCACTAATCATGTGATTTTTATGTATTTTATTCAGTCTTTGATATAACAACAAATCACAAGTAACACTGCTGTCTGAATATAAGCTTAAAATATTTTTTTCCTTCAATACATAAATTCCAGGTTTTCACTGGGGGTAAAAAAAAAAAAAAAACAACACAAAAACTCTGGCTCTGTACAAGATCTTCTGGCCTCTGGGGCATGAAGAATCATAGACTGTATTTAAAGGATGGACATAGCTTCAAGTCAGAATTCTTTCTAATGATCAGGAGGGGACGAGACAGCTGTTTGCATGGATTAGCGATGTGTAGATCGATACTTAAACATTGATTCCACCAATAACAGATATTTATATTCTGGAATTGATTTTCATTCTGTCTTTCTTTTTGCAATTTGGAGTGAATTTGTAGATTATGATTCACAAGAACAAAATGGAAAGTAATGATATTATTGGGATCGCCTAAATTGTCGCCTGCGTGTAGCACTTTGCTAAATTTTGGAAAGTGACTTACATCTAGGCTTAGGCTTTGTGTTGATGTATAAGTGGTGGGAATTCTCTGCATCCTTAAAACTATGAAATCCCATTTATTAGAATTGTAGAGCATTTAAAATGATTATATTGGGTAGGTGTCATTAAATATACAGCCTACTTGCAGTAAAACAGACATTGTAGGCTTTAAAAAATAACAAATTCAACTTAAAATATTTTATATGTAAGATAGATAATAACATGTATTAATAAAATGTTCCTCAGCTTTATTATTATTATTATTATTGTTAATCATTCATATTAATTTTTGATTGTTAATTGAATATTTTAAACTGTAGGTGTTGAGTTTTCAGGGGTTTTTTTGTTTTGTTTGTTCTTCATAATTAAACAATAAGAACAAGTAGTCTGATGTCTTGTATTCATTATAAAGGTATAATTGGAAATACACTACTTTTTGTTTTGATTTTCCAAACACATTAAGTTTATTATCCTTATTTAGTACCAGAATTTTATTTGGTATCGAAAAGAAAATCAGTGGCATTGCACATCATTAGCATAGACCCTCGAACCTCTTGATCCAAATCTTTTTATTTGGGTTTTGTTTTTTTTAAATAAATCAATGTAAAACAATTTAATAAATACAATTAAAAGTAAAAATAATTAAAAGGTAAACAGTTTGCTGATTATAGACTCAGTTGCTAATTTAAAATCTTACTGGAAACTACATGACGTTGATTTTGCAAATTTTTCCCAATCAAAGTCAAACAAGAGGATAAAGCAGCGTGTGCTCTGCTGACATAGCTACCTTATGGCTGAGAGGTTCCTCCTGAATCGTTGTGCAGCGTCCTTTAGTTTATCAGTCAGGTCCACGCCTCCCTCATCATGTCCAGGTTCAAAATACCAAAATGGCTTCAAAGCACGACCTCGCAAACTACTGAGACTACGTCCATCTTTAATAAACAATCTATGGAAAGAATAAGACTGAAAGAATTCAAGCTAACCACTAGTTTAGCAGGCTAATGGCTAATCTGGCTAATCTAAATTTTATGCTCTAATCCAAGCCGACATCACACTGAAGTGTCTCAGTTTTCTAGCTGATTAAAGTAGATGGCAGTAAATCTAGAAAAAGACCTCTGGAGCAGGGGTGGGCAACTCCAGGCCTCGAGGGCCGGTGTCCTGCAGATTTTAGATGTGTCCTTGATCCAACACAGTTGATTCAAATGGCTAAACCTCCTCAACATGTCTTGCAGTTCTCCAGAGGCCCGGTAATGAACTAATCATTGGATTCAGGTGTGCTGACCCAGAGTGATATCTAAAACCTGCAGGACACCGGCCCTCGGGGCCTGGAGTTGCCCATCCCTGTTCTAGAGGAATGTGCGAGAGCCTGTTTTCCAAAGCTTTAAACATCTCAATCCACCCGCCTCCCACTATTAGTGCCATCTCATCCCAACCTTGATCATAAAGTCCCATCACTGCCCAGGGCTTGTTTGCCCATTTAATAATGCACACTTACAAATGAAAATTAGTATCTTCTTTCAGTTTTTTTGTTTCGTTTTTGTTTCTTTGCTCTACATTCCCTTCATTTTCCAGCTTGTATTCTTTCTCTTTTTGTACTGAAATCCTTTCGCTTCGAGCTACAAGCAGTTTTTCTGCTCTCATACTGCTCTGCCTGCAGATTTCTGTGTTTTAGTGTTGTTAGCACAGCTTTTTCCCCCCTTTTATTGTTGTCAAAATCATTATGACTTGTAAAAGGCTATAATTTACTGCCTATAGTGAAAATTCTTGTTTTGCTGAAATGCCTCGCACAGCAGTGATAATGAAGTGTTTCTTTGTTCCCAATCAGGTTTGCTGTTGCATTTACTGACAAACTGAAAGAAGAGGCAGAGTTATTTTTGGTATGATTATGCGCTTATGTTTTTTGATACACTGACTGAAGTAATTCGTGGTTCAGTTGAGTCGAGCACATTATAGGCTATCTCTCTGAGGATCGCTGATAGTGTTGCATTGGGTTGAACACATGAAATTTAGTGACAAAAGGGAGAAAAGAAGAATTACTATTTTCCCTCATCTCTGCACATCTAACCAGAAGTTGTAAATTCTGGATTGATAGTTGCAGAAAGTTACAAAAAATGCCCCCTCCCCCAGTGGGAGGAGGGATGGGCTTTCAGGTGGGGCTGTCCAGCCATTTGACATGCAGTTTAAACTTTGACGCATGATGGTTACACATGCAGATATCACTTTT